GAAGCCGCCGCTCAAGCAAATGAGTTAGCCAAAGCGGCTCGGATGATGGTGACGATGATGGTAACGATGATGATGGCGATGATGATGGCAAGGATGAGGAGGGAGGGAAGAGAAGGAGAGGAGGAGGAGAAGCAGACGCGCGGTGCCGCCAATTCAAGACGAAGACCCAAAACACAGGAGGGTTGCGAAAACGATAAACGTTCGCAAGGCAGATGGGAAGCCCCAGGGGGCGTCCACAAGGAGGCACACGCGAGACAAGCGTAAGGGACAAGAAGGCGGCGGCGAAGGAGGGAAGGAAGAGGCGGAGAAGGCCCCGCCCCCATCCTGTCCCCCCCCCCATGCCCCAAAAGAGAATTGATCTAGGCTCCGGTGTTCGCCGGCCACCGGGCACTTTCAGCATGACGCACAACGCGCCGCTTCGCTGCGTCGGTGCCATTACCCCATTGTCCACCATTGCCTCGACCTCCCGTGGCATCTTTATACACAAGGCCCTTGAAAATGGCGCGTCTACCGAACTCAACAACGGCGGTTGCCGTAAGGCCTGACTCGCGGAGGCGCAGGACATCGCCCCGCCCACTGCCTCGAAGCCGCACCAATCATAAAATTCGAAGATTTGCATACACTTCACGCGGGTGAGACTCGGCATGTTCGACGTGGAGCTACGCAAAAAAAATAGTCAGCACCCACCGCCGCCACCAGGGGGGTGCGCAGCGGGGGGAAGAGGGAAGGGTCAACAGCGAAGGTAGCGACTATTTGTTAGGAGGGCGTTTCGCAAGGCGCCCCGGGCACCTGCGCGACGCGAATCGGCCAATCCTACCCCCCACCCCGCCCAGGCGCTGCGGGCAGTGAGTGGCTGTCCTTGGCGGGGAGGGGCGAAGGCGGCGGGCGAAGCGCCCTCAGGAAATTCGCTGGCCCAACGGGCCAGAGGCGTGCTAAGATCTCCGGTAACTGGTTAACAATATTCTAGTTCGCGTGCGCGGGGCCGCCCCTGGGGGTCTCCGGGGGGAAAAAAAACCCGGCAGGGTCCCGGCAGACTCGGGTCATAGATGCCGGACCGGGCAATTTTTCGACACCCCTCACGAAGATCGTGGCCTTCGAGGGGGGAGCCGCAATCGACTACCCCCCCTCCCGCCACAAGAGGGCCCCAAGAGACCCCCAAGAGGCCCTGGGGTCCCCCAAGACGCCGCCAAGGAGCCCCGAGACTCCCAAGAGGTCCCCAAGAGGCCCTAAAGAGGGCTCCAGGGCCGGCGGAATGATCGAAGCGATTAATTAAGATAACAAGGGGTCTCGGGGCCAACCCTCCTCCCCCATTGGCATACGACGACGGCGACTACGAGTTCAACCACTACGATTACGACCACACATAACGACTACAATTACTACCACGCCTACTGCTACTACTACTACTACTACTACTACTACTACTACCACTACTACTACTACTACTACTACTACTACTACTGATACTACTACTACTACTACTACTACTACTACTACTAATACTACTACTACTACTACGACGACCACCATTACAACTACTACTACCACTACCACTCTTACTAATAACGACGACTACGACTACGACTACGACTACGACTACGACTACGACTACGACTACGACTACGACTACGACTACGACTACGACTACTACTACTACTACTACTACTACTACTACTACTACTACTGATATTACTACTACTACTACTACTACTACTACTACTACTACTACTCCTACTACTACTACTACTACTACTACTACTACTACTACTACTACTACTACTACTACTACTACTACTACTACCACTACCACTACCACTACCACTACTACTACGACGACCACCATTACAACTACTACTACCACTACCACTATTACTAATAACGACGACTACGACTACGACTATGACTCCTTGGGCACTGCGCACACCCACCTCAACGTGAAGCTGAAGTCGGCGGCGCCGGGCGGCGCGCGCCCGCCCGGCCGCCGCCGCGCACCGCGCGCGTCAATGCGTCGCCGCCGCGGCGGAGGCGGCGGAGGGGGCGGCGCCGCCTCGCGCCTGCGCGATAGAGAGCGCGAAACCTTAGGTGTTTGAATATTCGAGGCGGCCCGCTCGGCGGCCACCCCCTCTTCGTTTGTTCGTTCGCTTCACTCGCTCGCTTTCAACGCCCGTTCTGCAGCCGCACAGAAGACGGCCGCAAACCTCGCGGGCGGGCGTCGACGACCCCGAGGCGGGCACCCCCCTCAGCGGAAAGGGGGGGCCCCACCATCCCCAACAGGATTCCGCGAACTCACGGGGCTTCCAAAACCTCGGAGAGGGCCCGACAAAACTTTCAAGCGCGCGTGCAGTCATACGATTGCATCGGAAAATATCGAAGCATTGCGCTCTACGCAATTTGCAACGTTTTTGTGTCATAACGCGCGCGCATCGCCCTCTTTCGCCGGCGCTGCAAAAACCGCATCGGCCGCAGAAATTACCTGACCCCTGATTCATCTGCCTCAGTCTCCCTCTCCCTCACTCTGTCCTCAGTCTCCCTCCCCCGCCGACACCCCCCCGTCGCAACCTCCCTCTTCTCTTAGGTCGGGCATGTCCCCCTATAGGCGGATTCTGGACGAAAAATTAAACCCCAAAAATTTTCAATAACAGCCAAACATAGAGACAAAATATCGTCCCCTGACTATTTTTGACTCTTTCGGACTATTCCCCCCGTAGAGGGACACGCCCGACTTGCCTCTTCTCTCTCCCTGCCTCCCCCACCTCCTCCCCCACGCCCACCTCGCTTCCCCGCGCCTCGGCGTCCAGGCTGACGGGAGAGGGTCGGGCGTTGGCAGAACTGGGTTTAATGGAACCTGGTTTAGTGATGCGTACCGGGGGGCGCCCCCCCCCGCCCCGTTCCGCTAACCGGAACTGCCGTCACCCGAAAAACACCGGTTACGGCAAACCTGGTTTAGTGAATCTGGCCAACTGAGGGGCCCCAGGGCCCTACCACTAACCGGATGCCCTTACCCGAGGTCCTGGCCATACCCGAGAGGGGCAGGAGAGCCCAGACTCTCAAATCGACGAGCCGCAGCCACGATCGACAGGAGCATCGCACCGGCGGAGCTCGGCAGCCACGTCGGGAGGAAGCCGCATCGGCAGGCATCGGCAGGCCGGGGGGCCTCCACGGAGGCCTCGGACCCCAGAGGCGGCATCCGAAGTCGGAATGCGAATCGAGATCGGAATCCACCGACCTCGAGAGTCGAGAATCGAGGATCGAAGATTGGAGGGACCGAGATGAGCCCCGAGAGGGGGGTAGAGCAGCGCTGAGGGGGAAGAGGATCGGGGATCTTCTGACCCGGGTCAATCCAGACCCGGGTCAGTCAAGCCTTGCAGAATCCTGCAAAATCCTGCACCCAAACCCGGGCCAATGCGAAGGATCCTGCAAGTTCCTGCAGGATCCTGCACCCCAACCCGGGTCAATGCGACCCTGGCCCTGCGCAGGATCCTGCAAGATCGGGGCGCTCTGGCTGACCGAGATGAGCCCTGAGACGACTACCTACCAGACCACCCCAACCCAACCCGAAGACCCGAATTTCGGGTTGGGGGGGCAAGGGTTCCACATGTGTTTTTGCCATGTTTCCCGACCCCCCCCCACTGGAAATCGAGGGTAAATCTGAGCCTCCGGGTTGGGTTGGGGTGGTTTGGTGGGTGGTGATGAGAGGGGGGTGGAGCAGCGCTGAGGGTCGGGAGCGGCCAAGAAGGGGGTGTCCAAGAGGGAGGGGTGCAAATCATGACCGGCGGCACGTGCGCGACCCAGCGGGGGGGCCAGGGACGTAATGAAATAAGAAGAGGCGCCATGACATGTGGGGAAGTATCATGGCTTCCGCCATGATATCCACCCCCCCTAGTCATCACCCCCCTCTTTTCCGCCCCCGAGAGGGGGAAGAGGGGAGCACTCCTCCTCCTCCCGGTGCGGCGCGGGGGGCGGCGGGAGGCTCCGCGGGCGCGCCGCCCTCCGCGCTCGCCAGCGTCTGCGGGGCGGGGAGGGGCGGCCGGGACCCCCGCGGCCGCCCTCCTCCGCCTCAGGGCGAATAGGGGGCCGCATGCGAGACCTACCCCCACCCCCCACGATTTCTGAGGGGGAGGGTGGGGTTCATTTCGTTCGGGAGCTCCTGAGCAAAGTGAACCCCACCCTCCCCCTCAAAAATCGTGGGGGGTAGGGGTAGGGTTCGCATGCGGCCGGCGGGGAAGGGCGGCCGGGACCCCGGCGGCCGCCCTCCTCCGCCTCGGGGCGCAGCACATGTGGCGCCCTGAGCAAAGCACAATCTGAGCTGAACTGAAACGCCGTGTCTCTACGGCACATCTGCTGCAGTGCTAGCGCGACGCCGCCAAGGAGGCGTCCGTCCTTGCCACCGCGGAGAAAGAAGCAGCAAGGTGTCAGTCTCAGCATTCACGTGACAGAGATATGTCGCTTGACGATTGCCTTCCAGACTTCCAGACTGTTTTCTTGTACCGTGTTGGGCCAAGAAAAACACCGAGCGCGTCGTAAAGAAGTCACGGCGGGAGGCTTTTGGGCCAGTTTCGGCCCCGGGGGGGGGGCCCTCGCCAGGCCTCGAAACCGTCAGAAATCGACTCGGGACGAGGGACCGCTCCCCCGGGGGAGGGGTGGGGACTTCCAGGGACGCCGCCCTGAAAAAATCAAGACGTCGCATGTCTGGCAGCACAAGCCTCCTGGACGTCGACCTGGTCAAGTGGCACGTCCTCCTCTGCAGCGCTTGAGGCTGGTATTCGCGACGTGCCGTTGACGGCAACACCACATCGCTCACCCTCCGGATCTTCGCCTCCGGTCCCTGTCCGCGGCGTACCTGTTCCTGTGCAAGCTCTTCGGCACCGCCTGCACCCCAGGCCCCACCCATTCGGGCCGCCCGAGGCCCCGCCTGCCTGTGCCCTGTCTCCGTAATTAGAGCTGTGCGTAGCTCGCCCAGCTTTTAGCGGAAGAGGTTCGCTCTCGCCCCGCCGACCAAAGAAATGTCTGGCAGCACAAGCTCTGG